CATCCATCCATCCATCCATCCATCCATCCATCCATCCATCCATCCATCCATCCATATTTCTCCATATAGGCTATCATTTGATCGTACCCGCTCTCCATAGTTCTCCTGTGGCGCGAGCACAGGGCGACTGTTGCGCCTTTATTGAGCATGCGCGTTTCCTGTCGCTTGCGCGGTGAATCGTACCGCCAGCGCTGTGCGGAGATGCAGGGGAAACCGTATCTGATGGGGAAACGCAGCTCGACGTAACACCGGTATTTCCATCTGGAAAACGCTGTTTGCTGCTGGAGTGCTCCTCACTCTCCATCTCTCTGTGTGTGCTGTACGTTAACACCCGCCAGCAGAAACACCTACCTACCCCACTGTCAGACGGAATCTCACTATACATCAGCCATTCTCACCCTCCCCTCTCTTAGGACGCGTGCACGAGTCCTATCATGAAAAAAGGTTCATTGTGCGACCTGAGTAACGCGCAGTAACGGGGTGTAGGCAACGGTAACTGCGTTATAGTTACAGTCAAAGTAACTAGTTAGATTACTCGTTACTAAAACAAGGTAACGCCGTTAGACCCATCACTGAATATGTCTAACATGTCTTACATCGATATATCGGACAAAAATCAATATTGACAAAGGCCCACTTTTGATTGGTGTAGCACCATCGGAAAGACTAAGAACTGAAGTGTTATAAATGACACATTTCACAAATGTAGGAATTCAAAAAACAAATGTAAAAATATTCACCCATCTTTGATGCAGGTCAGTGTATCAGCCAATCTTTGGTTTGTAATGGAGACCAAGACTGCGAGGATGGCTTAGATGAGCAGAGCTGTGGCCAAAGCAGCAGCCAGTACTTGTGTGATCTCGTCAAAACGCCTCCCAACTCGGACCTCACAGGCAAAGGGTGAGTTCATCATCATGCATGTGAAGAACGTTTGCAGGGAATAATCTTACTTTTATCACAGATAGCGTCATTGAAAACAATTGGTTCACAGATATGACACGCTGACAGGGAAACTGAAAGCAGGTGTGATTAACACCTTGAGTTTTGGAGGACAGTGCAGGAAGGTTTTCAGTGGGAACCATAATGTGATGTACCGACTGCCACAGAACATCCTCAGGTTCAGCTTCGAGGTAAGACTTTCAGGTTTGACTTAAAAAACTTTTTTCCTTGAAATAAAACTTGGGATTTAAAGAGAAGATGTCTGGTTGCGTGTGAATTAGTTTGATTTGGTCCAAACTGGTAAAGTATTAGTGCTTGTAATTGTCAATGTCGTTGAATGTGTGTGGTTATGCTGCAGGTCCATGTAGACAATGAGGAAAGTGATGAGTCTTATGAGAGCTCATGGTCCTACGTTCAGCACATCCAGTCCAATGCTTTGATAGGACATGACCGCCGCAGCTTCCACAAAGAAGTCTCTGACAACAAGGTGACGTGATAATCTGATCCACTTTAGAAAGCACTTTGAAAGTCACCGGGTTCTTTGGCTAGGCTGGAAAATATAGGGAGATATAGGTTAATATTCAAATCCCATCCATCCGTCTGTCCGTCCATCCATCCATCCATCCATCCATCCATCCATCCATCCATCCATCCATCCATCATCCATCCGTCCATCCATCCATCCATCTGTCCGTCCATCCATCCATCCATCCATCCATCCATCCATCCGTCCATCCATCCATCATCCATCCGTCCATCCATCCATCCATCTGTCCGTCCCTCCATCCATCCATCCATCC